ACAGGCATATATCCTGGTTTCCACTAATATTGTAAGAGAACTATCCCTTTGGCCATCTCAGAGATTCAGATCTGAGAAAACCAGAAGGAATTCCTCAGCTAGGAAACTAAAATATATCTTAAGCTACCCAAGAAGAGTTACACGTGCTTAAGAAGTAACCAGACACCCAATCCAGTCAGCCTCAGAGCCTCTCTGTGTCACCAAGTAGATTCAAGAAAGAGTTAAGTTTTTCTCAAATGCCATCTCAAGAGTCTAGGACAGTGATGGTGAACCTTTTGAGCTCGGCGTGTCAGCATTTTGCAAAACCCTAACTTAACTCTGGTGCCGTGTCACATATAGAAATTTTTTGATATTTGCAACCATAGTAAAACAAAGACTTATATTTTTGATATTTATTTTATATATTTAAATGCCATTTAACAAAGAAAAATCAACCAAAAAAATGAGTTCGCGTGTCATAGGTTCGCCATCACTGCTCTAGAGGCTGGAAAAGGCAAAGAAACGGTTCTCCCCTTCAGCCTCCAGAAGGAACGCAGCCCTGCCGACACCTGGATTTAGCCCAGGGAGACATGTCAGACTTCTGACCCACAGAGCAGTAGTTTTGTTTTTGTGAAACCACTAAACAAGTGGAAATTTGTTATAACAAACAGCAAATAGAAAATAGTTACCACGAGCAAATTTAAAACCACATCCATCTTGCCCTGGCCGGTGTGGGTAAGTGGTTAGAGCATCTGCCCACGCATCGAAGGGTCTCAGGTTCATTTCCAGTCAAGGGCATGTACCTGGGTTGCAGGTTTGATCCCTGATGCCAGTCAGGGCAAGTATGGAAGGCAACCAATCGGATGTGTCTCTCTCACATCAATGTTTTTCTCTCTTCCTCCCTCCATCCCTCCCTCCCTACCAGTAATCAATGGGAAAAAAAATATCCTCAAGTGAGGATTAACAAACAAACATATTTAAAAACCACACCCACCTCCGCACGGTGGTCTGCGTGTGGCTGGCACGGGGCCTTTGGTTCAGAGTCCAGCCCAGAGCCCTGGGCACATTTTATCTGTCAGATGAGCCCTATGCCCTCGACCACCAGGGTGAAGGGCGGTGCTTAAAGCACTTGCCCGTGTTAAGAGCTCAATAAATGGTGGCCATTGGCTTTCATTTTATGCATTTCGCCAGCCCTTTCCTATGACCCTGTGGAGTACTGACTTCTCACTCTACAGACGGGAAAGGCAAAGTTCAAGGACATCAGATGATTTCCTTACGATTATAAAAGATACGGAGGTAATCCGGGTCCGTGACTCCGAAGGAAGCCTTGGTTCTTTTCCTACAGATACGACGGCTGTGAACCTCATAGTAAAGGGTTTTCTTCTTTCCTTTACTTAAAACGTTTAATGAAAACATGACATTTTTAAAGAACGTGGTAACTCTCTAAACTGTTCCCAGCTGTAGCAGGAAACCACAGCTTTAGCTGCAACTGACTTTAAATAGAACTAAAGGTGATTAAGATAATTAAAAAAGACATTGGCAGAGGAAAATAAAAACTGAGAGAGGTTGATGGGCAGAATCAGGGTTGTGGGTGTTTGTCCCAATCTCATGGAACCCCCAGAAAAGTCTACTGGCTTCTGGAACAAGGCAGGCACCAATACCGCCCAAGCGAAGGCCCAGCACAAATCTTCCAAAGATGCCTTTAAGGGCCTGCCGGGTGCTAACAGCTCATATACGTCCTCACTGGAAGCTCTGAAGGGCTGTACATTATTACCCCACTGTACAGAGGAAGTCCTGGAGGCTCAAAAATACAATCATCTGGTAATTTGTTCAAGATAACGATCTATGCTCATTAATGGAGAACCCTGTTTTTGGAATCCAGACAACACCACTCTAAAGGGAGTTTCCACTCTATTGCTTGGCCCGGAGAAATATCTGTGTTTTAAAAAAGACAAAGAATATATAAAGAACCTGTATAATTCAATAACAAGATAAATGTTTGTCCAATTAGAAAGTGGACAAACGACCTGATCAACATTTCTCCAAAGCTATACAAGCGGCCAGTAAGCCCACAAAAAGATGCTCAACATCATTAGTCATTAGGGAAATGCAAATCAAAACAATGACAGCCTTGGCCAGTGTGTCTCAGCGGTTAGATCCTCGGCCCTCGGACGATTCCAATCCCCACCAGTCAAGGGCACATACCTCCCTTGCAGATTTGATCCCAGGCCCCGGGTCCCAGTCCGGGTGTGAGCAGGAGGCAGCCGGTCGGTGTGTCTCATTTATATCAATGTTTCTCTTTCTCTGTCTCTCCCCCTCCCTTCCACTCTCTCTAAAAATCAATGGAGCCCGGCCCACGTGGCTCAGTGGTTGAACATCGACCTATAAACCAGGAGGTCACGGTTCGATTCCCGGTCAGGGCACATGCCCGGGCTGTGGGCTCGATCCCCAGTGTAGGGCGTGCAGAAGGCAATCAATATTCTCTCTCATCATTGATGTTTCTCTCTCTCTCTCCCTCTCCCTTCTCTGAAATCAATAAAAATATATTTTAAAAAAATAAAAATTAATGGAAAAAATATCCTCAGGTGAGGATTTTAAAACATAATAACCCACAATGACACCACCTCACACTATGATGGCTATAATAAAAAGGGCAGACAATAATAATATGTTGAGGATGTGGAGAATCAGGAACCCTCATATTGCTGGCAGAAATGTAAAATGGTGCAGTCACTTTGCGAAAATAGTTTGGCAGTTTCTCAAACGGTTAAACAGAGAATTCCATATGGCCCAGCAATTCCACTCTGGGGTATCTACTCAAGAGAAATTAAAACACATGTCCACACAAAGACTTGTTCACAAATGCTCGCAGCAGCCTTGGTGGGAACATAGCTTCAAAGTGTGAACAACCCAAAGGTCCAACAACTGATGTATGAATGAATCAATCAGATGTGGCATATCCATACAATGGAATATTATTAAGCAACACAAAAGGAATGAAGTATTGATAAATGCTACAACATAGATGAGTCTCAAAAACGTGATGCTAAAGAAAATAATCCAGACACAAAGACCACATATTGCATGATTCCACTTACATGCAAAGTCCAAAGTAGACAAATCTGTAGAGATAGAAAGCAGATTAGCGGCTGCCTGGGGTGGGAAGGAGGAGATGGGGACGAGCTGTAACTGCTAAGGGGCACAAGGCTGCCTTCTGAGGTGAGGCGATGCTCTAAAATTAGATGTGATGGTGGCTGTACTGTAAATACATTAAATATTTTTAATTGCACACTTAAACCGTGAATTTTATGATGTGCAAGTTATATCTCAATAACACTTTTTTTAAAGTCAAGAAACATTTTCCAAACTGGCTGGTGTAAGCAAGCAAAATCACTCAGTCCCCGTGGCTTGCAGTGAGGATTTAAAACGTATTGTATGAGCCTCTGTGGCACGTTTAGTTTTTTTAAGCTAAAAAAATGTAATATTGCTTCCAAAAGCAGGGTGGTGGCAGAGGCCTCTTTTAACGGAGAGTGTCCCCCAGTTCCGAGCAAAACCCTGCCCACCTGCACAGCTTCAGTCCCGCTGTCCGCTCCCCCCACCCCACCCCACCATTCCCACCAAAACTCTCGGCAGGCGCCCCTTCCATACCTCGCCACCTGGGGTGGGAGTGGGGGTGCGAGTCCCAGAGCTGCCTCCCACCGCCCGGGTCCCCAGCCCTCCTCACCCTGCAGCCCGGTGCCTGGAGCCAACCAGCCCTGCCTCTCCCGGGC